TCGCATTTTCGATGTGTTCACTCATGCTTATAAATGTCAACGTCTACCTATAGTCTGCTCTTACCTGATCCTCTGTAGATACAGAACATAGGTTAAGCCTCTTTGCTTGATTGCCACCTCCTGGAAATGATACCGTAAAATCTGCCTGTGCTTCTATTACACACTTCAGTGACTTTTCTTCCATCACCTACACTTGAAGACACATGTTTTCATGTGATAAGCGAAACAAACATTCCATACAGTAATTTGACCAAAATTACATTCCCAACATAATATCTGTATTACCTTCTGCTGAACATATGACTGTCTATCTCACTATACTTCTATTATACTAACCATGTGCCACCAATATGCCCCTGACCTCTGATCAGTGCAATATATCTTCCATATGTCGACTTGAGGGGGCAGTATATGGGACCGTTCAGGCAAGCATCAACCCTCAGGGCTTCAGGGCCTGCACTGGTTGTCATTATAGACTATGAGATCCAACAGTTGCCCTGGACGTATATGCATTTATATTGACAGTACAGACATAAAAAGACAATTGAATGTGAGATCTACATCGCCAATATAGAGACCACATCTTTACACCCAATTGAAGTAAGTAGTTTTATTATTGTGGGTGGAGGTTTTCTATGTAATCCAAACCTTTCCTATTGTTTTTATCAGTCATTGGATTCATAAATGTGGCTGGAAGAGTAGGTTCAATGTTGGTGGGTTTGATAAATGAAAACAGATGTGTTTCTAAAAAAACATCTGGCATGGTGTGGATCAGTATTTGCTTTGGTTAGTGCGGGATAGATAGAGCTTTGAAGTCTACAAGAGGAACAGGCCTAAACCAATACACTTCAGTATTGTTGTATTATCCCTAAATGAAATGCAATTGCAAATCTTAGGCATGCTTAAGAAATGCAAATATTTCTCCCTCTCTCTTAGTCTCTCTGTCTCTCTTTGTTGGAATGTTGGAAGACAATGTAACACATCTTTACTGACACAGTTGTGATTGTTTATTAAAGCTTGGAATTTTCTTTGTTGTAATGTTTTAGAGGGAATCATTTTCATCTTTAATACTAAAAAAAAAAATGTTTAGACCCTTTCGCACCAAGGACAATAACTATAACGATAAGGATAATGATAAAGTTTTAACAATTGTTCTAATTCTATAAAAATAGTCCACACCACAACTATAACAAAAATGACACAAAGACACAATATTCTTGGAATCACTTTGAGAACAATTTTCTCCAGCTGATAAACAATAAAAACATCAACAGCCAATCAGAATCTATCTTGCTTTAAAGAGCTCGACCATTTAAAGCGGCAGATGACATACAGCAACTGCAGTTATAAGCACTATGTGCGTATAATAAACATCATAATATTATGTGTTGGTGTGGACACCAATATAGCTATTGTTGTTGGTGTGAACGGGCCTTAACAGCTAAATAAACAAAATAAATGGCCAATGGACATTGTGTCTAAAATGTAAAATATGGAATTTTCTGCTTTTCTAAACAATGAACAGCTTTCCATTTTTAATACTAAATCAGTAAGAGCTCAAATAAACATGGCTGCAGTGTGTCTAAAATGTAAATTATTGGATATGACCCTGAATTAATAAATTATATTGTTCAAATATTATATGAGTTGTTTGATTCAATCATTTTCCCCTACAGTATAAAATTCAAGTTCATCCTTGTGTGCTTGAAATTTTGTGGAGACAAGCAGCTGGTCCAAAGAACAGCCAAATTGCTGACTGAAGACCTTTATTACCTTCCAAGCTCATCTGTCACTGATTGAAAAGGAAATGGAGCTTCATGTCACTGAGTGCTGGGGATTTGCTGAAGAGGGCATCTCAGGCTTTAGATGCTGTGAAGGTTCATGCAAAAACGCTAATAGCAGAACTAAACAATTTGTGTCTGTCTTTATGCAAACTGTCATTATGCAGGTTCATTTGAGAAACATCCTGACAGTCAGGTTCAGAACTGCTATTTTCATCATGCAATTGTTTTTCTTCTTCTGATTTGCCACTGACTCAAGTGGATAATAATAAATTATTATTATTATTGTTATTATTACCCATGAACCATCTCAGTATGCATCAAAGCATGTGCCGGAGACTGTGTGCATGCATTCATGCCCAAATGGGTGCTTTATCTTGATTATTTTTATCTTTCTGCACCACAAATTTATTTCTGTTGCTTTACATTTGCGTAAGGTCTTGGTGTTTACTATTCTATTCTCATGCACCGAGCTTAGGTGTCTTTTGTATCAGATTTACACATTCAGCCTTATGGCATATGAAATTACCTGCATTATTCAAAGGCACAGAATTACAAAATATTGTACCAAGCACTGAGGGTAGACAATGACAAGTGAAGCCAAGTTATTCCAATGACTGCAATGAAGAGAGGTAGAACGATTAAGTATTCTGAGAAAACAACTATTTAAAAGATAGATATAAGAGATTATGTGCTAATTTAATGGATGATCATTAGGACCTAAGGCTCCTAGACTCACGTTAAATATATATTCCATTTCCATTTCAGATTAAGTTCTTAATCACAACAGTCTTGCTCTGGGTAAGCTTTGAATAAAAGAAATGAAAATCTCATCAATTATCACCTCTGTAGAAGGCTAATTTAAAAAGATTGTATGGTTGTTTCCTGGAGTGATTTGGTTTAACTGACTGAGGTATTGCAGATGCAATGATTACTAATATTAATACATAAGCTCAATATTTTCTACTGTATTAGAGAGTTTAATATGTAATATTTCAAATACTTGAATTATGTACTGAATGTGATAAATGATTTAGCATGAGAACAGCATTAAAAACAGATTAGACTAAGCCTATGAACTGTTTAAGGTTAATTATTTTATAGGTTAGCTGATGATAGATATAATTTACTATTTAGAACCTATACCATCATTCACATTATTTATAATGTGATATTAAGGAATGGCAAATAGGAATGGCAGAGATGATGAAAAGTAATGTAAAAAAACCTTTTACAAATCTAGTTGCTCCAAATGTAGCATTTGTGTTCATGTTGGTTTCATACATTTTTGAAAAATCTGTAACAGAACATTTTGATTTAATGACACTTAAAATGTCAAGTGATTAAATCAATCATAAAGTAATACATTGTGTTTGATACACCTTAAACACATTTTTCCCCAAAAAGTGAAAAAAAAAAAAAACATTGCCAAGGAAAAATTAAATCACGAATATTGTGCTTGTCACAGTCAGGGGGTTGAGAGATCAGGCAGGACGACGAAGATGACGAATAAACGGATATTTAAATCAAGAAACAACAGGAGATCCAGACAGGGTAGACAGCAACAAACAGGGTAACATTCACAATAACCGACAAACTAGAATACAGGAGACAGGAACTAATATAGGGCAGATAACGAGGGGCAGACAGGTGAGCACAATGAGGTGATTAACTACAAACGAGAACAGGAACAACCAAATAAAAGGACACAGAGGGAGAAACCACAATCCACAGGGGTGTGACAGATCGCCCCCCTCCCGGAAGGCGCGACCTCGCGCCATGGAGACAGAGGGAGGGACGGAGGGGGACTTAGGAGGAGGACAAAGGAGTGGATGTGGGAAGGAGCCCAACGGAGCCGGTGGGACAGAGCGACAAGGCGCAGCCAGAGGAGAGGAGTCCAGAGACGATGGCGGGTCGACGGCAGACCAAGGCGGAGCCGGAGGGACGAGGGAGCCCGGTGGAGCTAATGGATCGATGGGTGACGGTGGAGGCGAGGGAGCTAGGAGCCGAGGTGGAGCCACTGGGTCTATGGACCAAGGCGGAGTCCCAGCTTCGGAGGTCGGAGGCGGAGGTGAGGGAGACTCCGACCATGGCGACGCTGGAGGATGGCAGTCCCGCGGGGCTCGCACCGCAATGATAGTGGGCTGAGGGCGAGCAGAGGGGCTGCCAGCTGACAGCGGTGGAGGAGGCTGGAGCGGGTG